TAGCAGAAACATATATTAAATAAGCAATTTTATTATAATATATTTTGATAATATATTATACGAATTTCATACATAAAAGAAATGTTCCTTTTATTTTAAAATGTCACAGCAACAAAAAATTTTAAGTGTAGAAAATGTTTTATTGTTCATATTATTTTATGATTCGATAAAATTTCAATTTTAAATCTGATATATTTTTTTGTATATGTGCTTGGTGTTTTGTTACGAGTGGAAAAGGGTATGTTCTTATGGGGTAATAGCAGGGCGGTTGCCTTTGCCGGGGAATGGAGACGGAGAGCGTAAAATCGGGGGCTAGCGAGCATAGCCATAGCCATCATAGTAGAAGTTCTCAAAAACATCATCGTACTCACAGTTCTAAATCTCATCATAGACAACATTCACATAGAAGTACTAGGTATTTTAATATATTTAAAAAAAATGTAATTTAATTAAAATTATTTTTCATGATTTTTTTATTAATATAAATATGTTTTTAAAGGACAAATCGTAGTCAAAAAAAAGAGAGGCATAATTTAGATTCCACAGAAATGGCACCTTTTCAAACAACTGTCAATGTAAGGGGAGATAGTGTTGATAATTTAGGTCAAGAAGTTATAGAAGTACAAATTTTACCTCAAGATGAAAATTGGGGAGAAAATACTACAGCTGTCACTGGAAATACTTCTGATAGATCAGAATCAACTGAAGATGTGAGCCATTGGCCAAATGAAAATGATGGATCATTTAGTTCCTGTAATCGATTTATGGGACCGGTTATAGCAATAATGCTTGGATTAAGTGCTTTTCTTAGTCCTATAACTATGGTTATATTGCCTAAATTAGGATTTTTTCCTGATTCTACAACCGTTTTAACTATGCAACAAAAGCTTCAATTATTATCTTGTAATGCTGAATGTAAAGGCCAATTACTAGGTTTAGCCTTTAAATTGGTGCTATTAGGTATTGGAAGTTGGGCTATATTTTTTCGCTCAAAAAATGCTACAATGCCACGTATATTTTTATTTAGAGCAGGAGTATTGCTTCTTACTACACTATGCATTTGTACTTATTGGTTATTTTATGTTGTCCAGGTAAATAATTTTATTAAATATATTAGGATTTATTATACATTTGTACATTATCATAAATTATAGGTTACTGAGAGTGCTAAGACTGCTGCTAATGGTGAAATAACAGAATATAAAAATTTAGTAAATTATGCAGGTACTCTTGCAGATACTCTATTATTCATACATTATATTGCTGTTTTGTTAATTGAAATTCGTCATCAACAACCTATTTTTTATCTTAAGGTAAGTTTTTTATTAATATTTAATTTTTATATACTTTTTTGTATTGTTTTTTTAGCAATAATGCAATTAAACTTAAAATAATATTGATATTTAAGGTTGTAAGATCACCAGATGGTGAATCACGATCTTATGCAATTGGACAATTATCAATACAACGAGCAGCAGTATGGGTATTAGAAAGATATTATACAGAATTTCCTATTTATAATCCATATTTAGAAAGATTGCCAGTATCAAAATCTGGTAGAAAACAATCGAGTTTCAAATTTTATGAAGTTGATGGTGCAGTAACTGGTAGTGTTCAATCACGAGGAGGTAGTGGTGATAGATCAGTTATAACAACTCAAACTCGTCGTAGAGATTCCAGTCATAATGAACGTTTTTATGAAGAACACGATTATGAACGTAGAGTACGCAAACGTAGAGCTAGATTAATCACTGCCGCTGAAGAAGCCTTTGCTCATATTAAACGTTTGCATTCAGAAGTTGAATCTACTCCAAATCCTGGTCCTATGGATCCTATGGAAGCTGCACAAGCTGTTTTTCCATCTATGGCAAGAGCTTTGCAGAAATATTTAAGAGTTACGCGACAACAACCGCGTCATTCTGTTGAATCTATCTTAAATCGACTTGCTCGATGTTTAGCACAAGATGCAGCACCACGCGCATTTTTGGAACCTTTTTTTGTAACCAGTCCTGTATTTTCAAATGAAAAAGAACGACAAAAGCGATCACATCATTGGGCTTTAGTCTGCGAGGGAGAATTGCCTTCGCGACCTCTTGCAAATGGTTGCGAATTTCAATTACGACAAGGTGAAGTAGCTTTGTTATGTACAGTATATCATTTACCTCATTTTCATCTTACAGAACAGCTTGCACATCCTAAATCTAATAAATTTTTATTAAGATTAAATTCTGAAACATCAGTTTAGTAATATAAAATTAGTAATTTGTTTTATATTTTATATAAATTATCTTATATTCATTCATTCATTCATTCATTCATTCATTCGTTTGTTCGTTCGTTCATTCGTTTATTCTCTCTCTCTCTCTNTCTCTCTCTCTCTCTCTCTCTCTCTCTCTCTCTCTCTCTCTCTCTCTCCCCTTCCTCCCTCCCTCTTCTCTTCTCCCCTTTCTCTCCTCTCTATAGATCGCTTACTCGCTCGCTCCTTCCTTCCTCTTCCCTCAATATTAGTGAAATGGAAACAAAATTTATTAAAATTGAGTAACTTTTTATTGTATATAATTAAAACAAAATCACAATAATAATAACATATTATGTAAGTATTGTGAATTAAATATTATAGTATAAAATTGATATTGATTAATTCATACAAAAATAACATGCTTGAAAATAGTTTTTTTAATATATATATTTTTAAGGAATAAAAATTTTGAAAATAATAAGATAGTTTTTTATATAAAATCACAAAAAGTGTTCACCTTAATAACATTTATATTTTTTTTTTAATGCAAATAATTGCAATATAAAAGGACAATATAACTTGTATTTATAATTGTTAAGAAAAAAAAATTCAGATGATGTAGACATATGTTTTTTTCATTATTTTACATACTATTATTCATATATTAAGAAAGTTAAATATATTATATTTTCAGATAAATATATCTAAAGAAATTAAAATTTCTTAATAAGTATAAATAATCGAAAAATAAAAAATTGAATTATTTGTTTTTTTTGCCTTTCTTTTTTAAATTTTACAAAATTATTTTATTATGTTTAAAATATATTGCAATTAATGCATTATTTATTATATATTTAATATTTAGAAATTTTCATTATATTTATTTAAATTCATTATAATAATTTTTCTAAAAAATAGATAAAAGAAATATTACCATTTCAAATAAAATATTTTTAATGAAAAAAGTATATACATTCCTATAATATATAATTTCTTTCATGACACAAAAAAAATTGAATTTTTCATATATTTTCATATATGTTTTTTCATATATAAATTTACAATTTATATATTTTGAAATATTTTAAAGTAAAAATTTTGCATAATTTTAGTATGTAATTATTTTTATTTTATCATATAAAAGGTTATTTTAATATAGAAATAATTGCAATTGTCAATAAATCAAACATTTCGAAACAAAACATTTTTAAGATTTTATATTTCACAAAAGATATATAATTAAATGAAATTTTTATAATTTATATATTTGATCTTATCTTAATTTAAAATGTTTTTTTTTATTTTTCTTTTTTTTTATTTTTTTATGTTATTTTTTATTTTTTTTTTATTATGTGAAAGATTAATGTTTTTTTACATAACTATTAATATATTTGTCTTATTTTATTATTTTAATATATTAAAATAATATTAGCATTTTAATATGTGATTGTTAAATTTAAAAAATATAAAAATTTTCAATTCGCCATAGCTATCATTATATATTCTTTTTCATTATTACAATTTTATATTATTTATACATAATTTCGTGTATTCAATGATACTGGATGTATTAATTTTATTCATCTTTTGTATAATTTTTAAGTTAAATTATTATTTTGCATTTCATTTTAGAAGGCTGATAATGTTATATTATGTTTAAGACTGTGCTTGCTATTAAGAATCATGTACAGTAAATATCATGTGTAATATTCGCTAAATATTCGGTAAAATATGTATATAAAGTACATTATTGCATATCAAATATATAGATATATGTAATGAAATGATTAGTATAATAATGAAACTTGTTACACAAAAAAAATTTTAATGTTATAATACTCATTTTCTTTGCATTCCTGTTTAATAATTAATTTAGATATTAAAATATAAAATAATTTAATAAGTGTAATATAAGTTAATATAATAAGTGTAAATTTATATATATCTATAAAAATATTTAACATATCATTAAAAAACAAAAAGAAATACATGTCTCTTGCCTTTATTTATAAGTTATGTATTATTTAACATTGTATAGGTTTATAAAAGTGTAATGTAAGAATATTTGTATCTAAAAATATAAAAATTTTAATTTTACATTTTTTAGTACATGTTATTGTTATGAGTGACTATTTAAAATTTTTTATTTATATATAAATATAATGAATGTATTAATTAATGAACAAAATATACATCTTATACATAAATGTTATTTTGTGCATTGTGTATGCACATGCGTACGCGTGATATTTTTTTTTTTTTCTTTCATTCCACATAATACATATATGTTAATATTTTATTTTTATAAATTACTATATTTTGTAAAGAAAAATATATACACAAAATAAAATTTTGACTTAATACGATATAAAAAAATAAAGATATTTAATTATTATTTTTATATTAAATTGTTAATATAAAAAATATAACTTAACTAAAAAAATAAATCTTAAATTGTTTTATATAAAAAATTTAAATGTATATATGCTCAAAATTAAAAAATTTTTTTCTCTAAATTTTACATGTAATGTTTTTTATAATTTTGAACAAAATAAGACAAGTGAATATTTTTATTTATTATTAATCTTTTTTTTATAAAAAATTCAAATTTTAAATTATATTTTTATAATATAAAAATATTCAAAATTATATAGTATAAATAAATATGTACATTATTATCGTAAGAATTTAAATGTAAATGAATGTATAAATGAATGTATACCTAAATTAATTTTAACAATAGATATCACATAATCATCGCATCAGTCATCAAGAATATTAGTTGCTCTCACGAATGAAGAAGTAATATAGAGTTCCTAATATGGCTAGCGATAAAAAATCAGGAAAATCTTCAAAAGGTACGAAGTCTACTACAGAAATATTATCTGAATTTCAAATACTTCGTAATGAACAAAGAGCAATGGCTAATAAATTGTCAGAAATGGAAATGGAACTAAATGAACATAAGTATGTATTTTCTAACCTATACTTATTTATGTTATTTATTTTAAATTTTATTTTCAATGTTATAAGTAAATAAAAAATAAATTTTTATAAATTATATTATGAAATTTTAAATTTTTATTAAGAAATAAAAATAAATTACTTTAATAAATTAAATATTATATTTATTTATAATATATTTTCTTTAGATAATATACATTATAATCGATAATTGCTTAAATGATATTCAGTTTTAATTTTTTAGAATTGTTATAGATACATTAAAAAATATAGATCCTAAAAGAAAATGCTATAGAATGACTGGAGGTGTTTTATGTGAACGTACTGTAGAAGATGTAATGCCAGCATTGATAACAAATAAAGAACAGGTCAGATTTATTTTATTAAATATTTTATAAAAAATTAAAAAATAAAATAAATATATTTATATATTTAAATATATATTATATGTACATATCAAACTATATAATTATATATATACTAAAACTTTAGAATGTAATGTAAATAAAATTTATTTGATAATTTTTAGTTAATTAAAGTCATAGATACCTTAAATGATCAGTTGACAAAAAAAGGAATTGAAATAAATGAATTCAAAGAGAAGCATAATATTAGAATTAGAGGACAACAGGATGTACAACAACGACAAGGTGAAGATAAAGATTCCAAAGAAGCAAAAAGAAGTGCCGTAGTTGTTAATTCATTATTAAATAATTATTCATAAAGTCAAAATTTTCTATCTACAATATTTCTTATGTTTATAATTAAATCATATTAATTTACATTATTTATTGAATAAGATAATATTTGAAATGTATAAATATCTAATTTTTTAATGGTTATGTATTTTATATAAAATACTTATTGACTTTTATTTATAGATAAATAGTATATCAGCAACTTCAAATATAATTTCTTTAGTTTTCCAAATTTTCATCATTTTCTTTCTTTTTTTTTTTAACTAATTATGAAATTATATTTATTGTAATTTTATATATTTTTACAAATTATGAGATAAATTAATCACTGAAAAATATTATACTACAAATATTATGAAAATTATAAGTAATTAAAAAAAATTAATTGTAATGTATAAAATTTTTACATGAACAAAATTATTTTAATTATAAAAAATTATAAAAAAAATTAGAAATCATTTTGAATATAAGAAAGGATTTTTTGATGCTTCATTCTATATCATTGTTATTTCTGTTTATTAATTGATCATTTCAGTTATATATAAATGATATATATATATATCATTTAGTTAATTTATAAAAAAAAATTAATTTTTTTTATTATAATAAAATAGTTTTGAAAAATAGGTTCAGATTAAAGTGTAATTATAAAATGAAATATATCAATATATATATATATATATAAAATAACTTTATTTTATGGAATAATCATACTAGTGCACAAAATATTATGTAGAAAAAATTAGATCTATGCATATTTTCTATAGTTGCTATAAGTGCTATAAGATTTAACATAATAATTATGTTAAATCTTTCCAAACGTTTTTTATATAAAAAATTAATTTCTTATTTTTTTATGAAAAGGATATTATAATTAGTAATAAAATATATAAATATGTGAATTTTAATTTTTTCATAACTTACTTATGAATCAAAATTATTATTGTAGAATTATAAAATTATTAGTTATAAAACACTAATGTAAGTTTATAATTTACTATTTATAGTATATATAAAGGCAGTAATAAGCATTTAAAATACAGCACATTATGTAAATTTAAAGGCACCACTTTATGTACAGGGTGATATAAACTCTATGTATGTATATGAAACAAAAATGAAAATGTATGATTAATGACATTGCTTTTGGGAACAATAGAGAAAGAATCACCCTGTATTATGGAAATATTAATGTTCACGATTCCATCTCCATACAGTAGCATCATCACAAACGCATAATAAAACTGAACCATCTCTGCTTAAACTAGTTTGACGTATAGGTGCAGTACATCTAGGATGTTGAAGTGAATAACAGCGTGCTTGACCAGGTTCATCAACTTCTAAATCCCATACATATGTTCTACCCACTTGGTTTCCTAATGCTATTGTACGTTGCCAAAAGTCCATTGAGAATCTGATAAACCATATATCACATTCTTTAAATTCAAACCTATGTAAGACAGTTGCACTTGTTTCTCCATTACGTAATTGAGAATCTTCTAGCCGTCCTGGTTTCCAACAAACAATACAATTTTCACAAGATTTGCTTAAAATGAAATCACCATACCATTTAACGCAATCAACATAATTACGATGAACATCACGTGTAGTAAAATCCGGAAAATGTTGAAGTATTGAATCAAAAGGTCTTCCATTACGACTAGGATTACAATAATAGGATTGTTTTATTGCTTCTTGCATATCTGATTTATCTAATGACCATAATTTTAAAGCATGATCCATACCACATGAAATAATACGTTCTCCTTTCATATCAAAGTCTGCACTTAATACTTCATCTCTATGACCTTCTACACCACCAAATATTGCTATACATACATCAGTTTTTATATTCCATAGTCTAAGAGCATGATCTTTTGATGCTGAAAGCAATATGTTTGGATCTTTAGGATGAATTTTTAATTCATTTATTGCATGACCATGACCAATATAATGTTTAATGCAAGTCATAGTTACAGGACTTATAACTCTTACAACACCACGTGATCCAGCTACTGCTAGTAAAGGTTTTCCAGAATCATCATAAGTCCAAGTACAAGTATAAAAATTTTCTTCTGGATCAGGATCTGCATAACATTGACGTAATCTAATATTTCCTCCTTGTGGACATTCATAAATGCTTACTCGATTGCTTCCCACAGAAGCAAATATTAATGGTTCACCTTCTTTTAAATGATGGTTAAATTGTACTCCAAACAATGGCTGTCCATGGTCTTCTTTAATACTGCAGCAATATTTATAAAGAGGTTTATCTGTACATGGTTTATATTTTGCTGTTTTACTTCTACGTCGTCCTTTTCTTCTGTAACGAGCACTACGGGTAGGTGTATCACTACGATGAGTACCAGCTGTTGAATTACTACCAATACTACATTCAGTTTCATCACTATCATTTTCACTATCTTCTTGACTAGAGGCATATGCTTGACTTTTGCTGCTTGTTTTCTTCATTTCAATATTAAAACTATAAATTCAAGTTTTATAAAATTCTATATCATTAGTCCGTCCAATAACAGGAATTCCACTTGTTATACCCAATATAGCTTCTATTAAATTTAATATTCTATTACCTAATTGAACACAAATTTGTGGCTTCTAAAAAAATATATAAAAATTAATATAATTTAATTTATAATAATTATTATAAATTATAAAAAAAAAAGAATTAAAATGCAATATGCATTCTATAACTTCTAAATAAAGTGAAATTTTGGGAAGAAGAAGGATGTATACATGATGGATTTAAAATATCTCAAATCTAATATTGAAATTGAGAATATAAAAATAAAATATAAAACAATCCTTGAACATTCTTGGAATCAATCATTATAATTATAATTAGAATTCTTATCATATTATCTATAAGGAAGTCGATTTTTTATTAGTCTATTTGTTACAAATTTTGGATATTGTCCACTGTGATATGTTTATAGAAACAATAGATAAATTGTCACACTGTAACATACATTGCAAAGACATGCATGTATAAACAAAATTCAATATATCATATCAAAAGTTTTTTATTAATATATTTCTTAAATTAATAAAGACTTCAAACTAAAATTTTATATTTAGAAAATTTTAGTTTTATATTCTTAATATAATCAAATTTTATATTATTATATTATAATTTTATATTAATTTTTTCCTTATTTCCCTCAAAATTTCAGTTTGTTTGATCATGAGATGCATATTGTATTATATTTAAAAAAAGTTAAAGTTTATATATATATAAACTTACAAAAACATTAGCAGACAAAAATCGAATATTATATTTCTCTCTTATTTTTGCTGATTTATGAGAAGTTAATCCCATACTATTTGAAATCCCTCTGCAATTTACAAGACATACAGCTCCAGAAATAATATAATGTTCATCTACAAGATTAATATTTGTTTCTACCTTAAATAATATTTTTTTACATTAGTATTTACACATTAAAAACAGTAATTATTAAAAAGTAAGTTATATAATTATTAAAAATAAACTTACTTCAGATAAAGAATGTGTAGTTTTCCAATCAAAAACAAAAATAATAAAATCTATGCTAAGATTTAAATTCAAGCGTATAACTTCATCAACAAGCTCACATTGATGTACAACGATATGCCATTTTCTTTCTTTTGCACTTTCATGTAATCCTTCAGAAACTTTATGACATAATTCTGCTTGTCCTATAACCTAAAGTTATTCTTAATGTACAAGTCCTGTTTTATATGAAAAAATTTTATCTTTGAAAACTTAACCTCATTAAATTTAATATTTTAAAAATGATAAAAGAAATGTATATAAAAAATAATAAAAAACTTTTATAAATATGTAAATGTAATAAATAATTTTATGATAATAATTTTATGATAATAAATATTTTATTATAATGAATTTAAATAAATATAACAATATTCTAAATATTGATACAAAATATAATCTTAAATTAAATTTTTTTTTATATTTTTTTCTATTTAAATTTATAAATGTAAAATAGAAATTTTTTTAATAATTTAAATATTTATATTTTATAATAAATATCTAAAAATAAAAATTTAACAAAATAATATTTATATTTTAGTTTTTTATTTATTAGATTAGTTTTACATTATATGTAAAAAGATTTATGTTTAAGAAAATATAATTATAAAATAAAAATAAATACAAAAAATAATTAAAAAATTTCAAACATACCAAAATCGAAACTAAACAATTATTTCGATGTACATTACAATTAGTAAGTATCCCCGCCATATTTCCATAGTTACCAATTGCATTAAAAAAATGTAAAATTCAAAAGTTAAAATCAGAAATAAATAATTATAGTTATTATTATTGTACTATTTATTATTATTATTAACTTAAGTGTTTATTTTAGTTAAATTTTGAGACATTAAATTTTGAATTTTTTTTCCTAGATTATATAAATTTTGATTTACAAAGATAATAAATTGAATGTTAAAATTCAATAGTTCAAAAATTATTGCATGTAAAATATAAAATTTTGTATTTTTAGGAATTTTTTGTGATATATTTTATATGATTTTTGATTTTTATTCTAATTCAGTCAAATAATAGAAAAATATTCAAATTATTTTTCATTTAAAGAAAAATAAATTCCATATAATACAATATTTCTATACAATTAATACTGTAATATATACTTATTTATTCAATGAAAAATATTTTTAATATATTTTTTTTAAAATATAATTTAAATATGTGAAAAAATATTTTATATATATTGAATATTATTTATATATAATATATGTAATAATATATATAAAATTCTTAATATAACTTATAAAGCATTTATAAACATAGATTAACATTGATTTTTATCCTCATTGCAGCCATAACACTTTACACAGCTATTTCTAAAGTTTTATAAGAATTCTATAAAAATCGTTATTTTTTAAGTATTAAACATCTTTAAAAAATGACGCTATTTTTGATTTTTTATCTTATTTTACTTTGTCTTTAAAAAATTATTTTTAACATTCAAGAAATAATATTGACGATTAATTTTCATTCTTATATTATTTACTTATTATTACATTTACTCTTCTGCGTTCAAGAGAGTTAGTTAATTTTATTGTATTCTTTATCTTTAACATATCGATTAAACATCTTAAAAAATTTAAATTATTAATATATTATAAATTATTAATATATTATATTATAATTAATATTTATTTATATATATAAATAAATTTAACTTTAATATTTATCAAAAAAATGTTTGTTGACTTTACTAACTTTTATTAACTTTTATGATTAAATATTTAATATAATTTCTACATAATTTACATTTACGTAGAGAGTAAGGTATATCAAACATTCTAATTTTAAGATTATCATCACTATTATTTTTATTTTATTCACTCAGATATAAAAGAAAAATTAATAGAGAAATATCTAAATAAACTCTACTAAAAACTGAACAAACTAGAGATATTACATATATAAATATTTTTTGAATATTTTATAATATCTCTATATTACACATCCTTTGTCTTGTAATTAATCTTTTTGTAATTAGTTTTTTAGATAGGCAACTCATTATGCTTGCATTAGTGTTTTAGTGTATTTAGTAGTGTTATTTAAATATGACTAGAGACTTTCATCTATTTGCCTCATGTTTTTTACGCAATATTTCAGAATGTAGGAACATAAAGTTTCATTGTTAGGGATATCCTGCATCTTGTATTCTATATCTTGTCTGTAGTATTTGAATATTCATATGCAACGTATACCGGGTAGCAATCAGTCATTTATAAAATAAAATTGATATCAAGAATTAATTAATTGAATGTATTTTTTATATATTAATAATAGTTTTGTGATATTTAATATTATCTTATAAACAAGAAAAAAATGTTTAAAAAGTATGTGTAGCATTTCGTCTAGTAAAATAACATAACCTAGTTTAATACTATTAAAAATACTATTACTATTGATATTTTATTAGATTTGACGAAAAAGATAGTATTTCTGGTATACAACAATTAAAATCATCAGTTCAAAAAGGAATTCGTTCAAAGCTTTTGGAGCTTTATCCTTATTTAGAAGGTTATGTTGATGCTATAATTCCAAAAAAAGATGCTTTTCGTATTATAAAATGGTAAGTTCTTTCAAAATTAATTTATTTTAAATTTAATATAATTTTAAATTTATTATTATTTTATGATTAGTCATGATCATATAGAGATTATAGTGAATGCAACAGGAGATCTTCTATTCTTTCGTCAACGTGAAGGACCCTGGATGCCTACTTTAAGATTGTTACATAAATGTAAGTTATATTTTTTTAGATATAATAAACAGTTTGATTAATAGAAAGGTAATTTTACACAAAAAATTTATTTTGTTTTAATATATTTAAAAATTTTAGACCCATTTTTTCTACCAATGCAACAAGTTGATAAAGGTGCTATACGGTTTGTTCTTAGTGGAGCTAATATTATGTGTCCTGGTTTAACATCAAAAGGTGCAAAGATGACACCTGTAGAAAAGGGAACAGTTGTTGTATCCTTTATTAAAATAACATAATATAAAATAAATTTTTTATCTAAGAATTTAAATATAATTCTTGACTTGAAAAATAGGCTGTTATGGCAGAAGGTAAGCAACATGCTTTAGCTGTAGGTGTTACTACTTTGTCAACAGAAGATATGTAAGTAAATAAAATTTACAATAATTTATATATAAAAAATATGAAAAATATTGTTCTTTATAATAATGTAATTTACAGAATTAAGGTGAACAAAGGAATAGGCATAGAGAATTGTCATTATTTAAATGATGGACTTTGGCAAATGAAATCTGTGAAATAAAAGACTGATGTACATTGTCTGAGATGTAATGTACAGATATCTTAACTATTGTATGAATGTATCTTTTGGCATTTTTAAAAATGAGATGTGCTGTGAAATGATAATTTTAATTACAATTATTATTTTCAAAATAAAAAAGATTAATAATGCATTTTTATTGTACAAATTGAATGAATATGACAATTTTATTATAACTATTTAAATGCATCAATATTATTTAAATGTATTTTATGATTCACATAAAATCAATAGAAGTCTATAAATGAATGTATGTAGTTATAAAAAATACTTAACCAGATCCTGATTTAATATCTGTCTGACCTTCTTGATTTTCTGAAGAAACAGAACGTTCACTTTCACAATGTCCTGATGCTAAAGAATATGATGAATTATTAGCATCAGATGTTGGTACAGAAGTTGGTGCAGAAGCTGTACTTGAACCCGGTACACTGTTATTAGTAGCATTATTTTCTCCAACAGCATGAGGAGATTGTGGATGATAATGAGGACTATGTGGACTATGAGGACCATGGGTATGAGGACGACCTGTGGTATGTGGTGAATATTGTGAATATGGTTGATGATAATATGGATGTGCATATTGAGGATATGGTTGATGATATGGTTGTTGTTGAGAATAAGCATAAGAAGGATGAGGAGGTCTTGGAGCTAATGGAACATTTTGAGCCTGCTGAGTAGGTCCTGGTTGATATTGTTGGCTATAGCCTTGATTTAGTGGAATCATCTGAGGAGTATGTGGATTAGAAACTGGTCCTTGAGGTGCAAGCACCTGAGTTCCTTGTGTTCCTTGTGTTCCTTGATGAGATGATATTGAATGATTAGCTAACATTGCTTGTTGATGAGGATTATGTTGCATAGGAGGAGCTGGTGAAGAAACAGGAGGCATAGTCGGTGTATTTGCAGATGCATTTGCATTTGTAGGTGTGTTTGTATTAGCAGTTACTGCTACACCAGCAACTGCTGTTGTAGTAGGTTGTTGTGGTTGTAAAGATGGTTGTGACTGTTGAGTTGATGGCTGTTGTTGCTGCTGTTGATGTGATTGAGATGATGATTGTTGATGTTGTGTTGATGGTGGTTGTTGTTGCGGTTGTGATTGTGAAGAAGATTGTTGTTGTTGTTGTGATGATGGCGGCGGCGGCGGTGTTTGTTGTTGTTGTTGTTGTTGCTGTATTGGACTAATAGTCCCACAATACATTCCAGAATTAGATGTATGTTGATTAGAATTTCCTTGAGTTGATGAGGATTCTGATTTATTTTCAATATATGGTGGTGAAGATGTTTCTTTTTTAATTTCATTATTAGGTTTTTCAGATCCATTTGTCTTTTTATCTATTGCATCATTATCAGGAACCTATAAAGCATTGATAATAAATTAGTGTTATATTGATAATAAATTAAAATTATAATTGTACGAATAATATTTACATCAGATGGAGTTTCATCATTAGTAGGGGCAGGAGTTGGAGTAGGAGTAGAATTTGGAGTTGATTCACTTGAAGGAGGTCCATCTGAACGATTTTCTTCTGCACCTCTTAATTTATCTCGTCTAAGTGCTTCATACTGTCGTTCCACCATTTTATTAAATGTTTCTTCATCTACAGCTGGTTTACAATGCTGAAAGAAATATTTTTTATTATTTGTTAGGATATTTATATCATTAAAAAATAATAACTTACTTTTTTTAATTCTTCTTGAAATATTTCACTTGTCTCAATAAATTTACGTTTTTTTGCTTCAAATTTTTCTTCTATTTGTTGCAATTCTGCTTCAAGTTTTTTCTATAATATTCAAAGTTTTAAAATATAATAATTAAATTTATTATTATTATTATTTATTAAATATTAATATATTATTATTTAAAAATTGTATTATATAATTAAATATAAAATTGTATTATTTAATTAAAAATGTTTTGTTATACATATATACCTGATGCATTGTTAAGGATTGTACTTGACGACGTAGTACTTGCATTCGTTGTGTAGTGACAACAGAGCGAACATCAGGAACTACAGTATCACTAAATATCTCATTAATAAGACGATGATTTCGAGTATATCGAGAATACGCAACGTGTTTTACAGAATATCCATCATCTTGATCTACAAAATAAAAAAATATATACAATATTTTCTTGTTTAAATTATATAAATTTATATACCATCATCATCTTCTGCAGGTAAAATATCTATTCTTCTATCTTGAGCTGCTTGTCCTTTGGTACTGCCAGATGAACGTTCATGACTTTCTCGTTCATCATTATTTTGTTGTGCGGCGCATAATGCTGCATTTAAAAAAAAAAATTATATTAAGAAGTTTATATAAAATAAATATTTATAAAATATATTTATAAAATATAAAATATATAAATATATTTATAAAATATTTACCAGATTTTCCTCTATTTTTAGCTGCAATATAAGCTAAATATGCAGGTGAATTGTGATAAGTTTTTAAACTTTTTTCATATTCAACCTATTTAACATATATATAATATTAATATTTATTTTTATAACTATATGAAATAATACCAATATGATTTTGACCTTTTCTGCTTCATATTCTTCAATAAATTCTGTTTTATCTTCCTCTGGTAAATCTCTCCACATTTGTCCAATAATTTTTCCTATTTCCCATAATTTTAATTCTGGATTTTGAGCTTTTACTTGATCCCAAACTTTTCTGCTATATCTCATATAAGGCATAAGAGGTTTCTCTGGTGGTTTAGGTGGTTTGGGCATACGAGAATCAGCCTATTTAATTAATATGAAAAAAATTTCATAGATTAATAAGAATATTTCTAAATTATTATTATATTCAATATTATAATACTTATAATATAGAAATACATACGTTTGTATTTTTCCCAACTTTTTGAGGTATAAATCCTGGATGACTATGAGGTGTTTGAATAAATGGACTTTGTGCATCTTTCTATTAATTATTATAAAAGTTAATATCCTAAAATATATGCACATATATATATAATTTATATAAAATATATACTTACAGTATTAGTTGAACTACTACTACTTCCACCTGATGCTCTAAGTCGTTCTGAAATATAGTTATTTTTTTTTAATGATTTATAGATGAAAAAATATTAAATATAACCAAATTATTTGAGGTTAATAATGCTTACGATTAGATGCAACGATATTTGACGTAGCCATAGCTACTTGCTTATAGTTCGGAGGTAAAGCCATTTTGTATACTGATTAAGTTTTAGTTTCTTAAAAATATAACAAACACATATAATAATATATAAATATTGTTAATTTATATGTTCTAAAGTAATTCATTCAATTATATTTCTAATAACTTAGAATTCATTTTACCGTTCATCTTATAATATACTATTGAGTACTATTAAGAACTGAGAAGTTAGCTCAAGGTTGAGACAATACTCGTTCACCATTATACGATGTTATGTGATTTTATCTGTAGATGCACGATTTTCGACCAATACGCATTTTTATTTTTATGATTGTATTGGATCTATCAGAAATAACCAATCAGATTTTACTATTATTTTCTTTCTCTCAATAATGTGTAAGTATTGTCAACTTATTAAAATTACTAAATATATATTACTATAATTTGAAATTAAATAAAATTTCTCTAGTTGTTTTCATAATTCATTGGTTAAACTAAATTTCTAATGTGTATTCATTTTATAAATAAATTATTGTAATATTTATAACAAATAAAATATTTATTTACAAATATAATTTATGTATATATACATATATTATATATAATTTTTAAAAATTACATTTTAATAATTTTATATTTAAATCATTTTTTTAAACATATAAAAAAATTATTGATTGAGGTGTTTTAATTTAAAAAAAAAGTCAGTCATTTTTCTTTACTTTATAATATAACATATTTTTGTAGTATATGTTGATTTAATAATTAATTTTAATTTATTCTAAATATGTAATATTCTAAATATGTATGAAAACACAAAAAATGTTATTTTAAATTATTTTTAAGTTATTTTATTATCAAAAAAATAATATATTTTTAAAATATATTAACGCGATTTATATTTATATAATAATAAAGAAATTGGCAGTTAATTATTTTTTTCAAGAAATAAATTAGGATAGAACCTTAAAGCTTCAATTGTATCATCTCTGCAAGCTTTTCCTTTTTTTTCTGTAACTAATAATCGTTCCCGTGCTAAAAGAACTGATATACCTTCTGATTGAGCAAGTTCTTCTGCTGTTAAAGATCCTTTTTTTTTTATCTGTAACAAAGAGTAGAAGTTAAGTTCATATAAAAATTATTTGAAAATATTACTTACAAGATCAGCTATAATATCAATTATGGTATTATCATCATGTGATCGAGCTTGAAGAACCATAACTCCGCTATCAAACACTCTCAATACTATAGGTAAATCTAAAGAAGCTAGCTGTCTACTAGCATTTAATAAATCTTCTGGTGATAAAAGTTCCAAGCCTCTTGCTCTATTTACACGACAATAAACATCTGTTAATGTCATCATTCCTCCAACTTCCTGTCAAATGGAATTTACTAAGTGTTTATTATCTATTGTAAGTTGTTAAAAATTATTAGAAATATTAACTTTAATTGGCTCTTCTAAAATATCTGCAAGTTGTTTTGCCAATTGCTTGAAATATTCATTACTATTCTTGTATGCATCTCTGGTAACAGGATCATCAATGCCAAGACTCATTAAGTAAGATTTAAATCTAACTGTTTCATCTTCTGTGATATCTCCTTGTCTCTCCTGCAATTGTCTTTGATTATGAATGTCAATTTTATAAAATAATCTTGTTGAGAGTCACCCGTATTTTTGTTGAGATAGTTTTTGAAATGGAAACCATGTCTTTGGCCACTTCCATGAGCTTCTTAAGATCTTGAAAAGCCATTGATATACTTTCATCTGTTGCTTTCTGTTGTTCCTGAAGACTTCTTTCAATACCTATAATACCAGTTCGTGTCTTTATTTGTGGTAAAGGTTTATTAATATCTCCACTATTTTTTATATTAGTATCAGGATGATTTAAAGGCATAATAGGTGTTAATTCCCAAATTCGTTTCATAATAGTATCAGATAAATGTGTATGAAAATTTGGATCTAAACCTTCTTTAAATGATATTTTAATATAATTATATATACTATTATCTAATGGACCAGGCATTTTATCTACAAAAAAAATATAATAAATTTAATAATTTGAATTTATATAATTTTAATAGATATTGATAGATAAATATATTTTTTATAATTAATGTACCAATTGGAGCTTCAGAAAGATGTACAATAATTTTTTTACTACGTCCAAAAGAAAATGGACCAGGAATTTCTTCCTCAAAATAAACTATATGACGAAGAAACAATGAAAGACAGGTATAACCACGTGATATATCACCAGGTCTGCCCCAAAGAAATCTGTGACTTGTAAGCACTAATTCACCACTTTCAAAATTTGTCTGTCAAAAAAATGAAGGTTATGTTTTATTCTATGTGAATAGTTAATTATACATACTTTAACATCTCCATCGTACAAACATATGCCAAAATCGCGTCTTATGTAAATTTCATTTGGAAAAAGTCGAGAATCAGCGTATTCAAATCTATTCATTATTTTTGTAAGTTGAAAATAGAAATTAAATATTTTTTTAAGACCACGTAAAATTCTTGAATTCTAAATGGTCTTATTAGCAACTTTGATGTATTTAACCACAAGATGTCCTCCAATTTCTATATACTTATATATACAAGCTACATATATATCATTTACTGTAAAAATAACATAATACGATTTTAAAAAAAACGAGAATCATTATTAAAACATAATATTAAAATTCCAAATTAAAAATTTTGTATTTGGAATTTATTTATAAAACTCTACCAATAAAAAACAAATAAAAATAGTTCTTTCAACAATTTAAAAACTATTTTTTATCTAATTTTTTATAATTATTGTTATGATAATACTTACAATTTATTAAAATTTCCTGATAATATAATAAAATAATAATTGATTGTTTTTGACTATAATTAATATTAAGTTGTATCTTTGAATAATTTAAAAATAAAATATTTATAAGCTCAAATTAAAAAAATTAAAAAATTATATATTAAGAATTTATATATAATTAGAATTTATATATATATAATATATAAAATTCTTATTATATATATATAATAAGATATATATATAATAGAATTTATATATATAAGGATTTAAGTGTAAATTACGAAGTGGATGATATTAATTATTACTTTAAATATATTTGTTTCGAATTTATTCAATAAAGGAATCGTGTAAATAGAACCGCAACCATGAGTAACAATGACCATGTATAGTTAATAGGTGATTTTTTTGTGTATTGATTGCACACTTGTATAGTGATTAACGGTTTTCATTTATAATATATTTCTTTTCAGTTTTTAATAATAATAAGATTGATTTCTTTTTGTTTATAGCTATTATAGCATATAATATAATGTGTAACAATACACTTTATACCTTTTGCAAGCACAAGCTCGAACGTACCTTATCTTAAGGGATATGTTATTATTGTTAAAATTAATAATTTTAAATGTAGACAAATTTTCATGTACATCTTTTCATTCGATGAATATTTAATATATAATAAATATACATATAACATCGAGAGAGAAAGAGATCATAAAACTGAAGAATAAATATACATACAATCAATGATCAAATTGAACTATTTAATGATGTACATGTAATTTGCTTTTACATTTTTTTTTTTTAGAAACAAATAAGTTATAGACTGAATCAATTAAAATTACTGCCAAAAATAGATTATGAAGTTTTTATTTATATTTATTTTAAATTTAAATTAAATTTTGTATTATAATTAAAAAATATCCGAGAAAGAAATTCTTTTTCTTATGTATGAATATCAATGAGAGAAATAGATTTTTAAAAATTTTTTTTATAGTAATGATAAAATGATAATAAAATAATATTATTAAAATAATTTATAAATTATATAATAAAATTAATAGTATTTAATAATTTGTTATTTTTGTTATTAAAATTCTGCGAAGTTATTTAAATGATTCAGTCTATATTGAAATATATATACATAAATATTTTAACAAGTCCCTTAAGTTTATTTAAGTAGAATATTCTTAGTAATTTATTTGAGTACTTTTAAATATTTTAAAATTGTATCTTTCACAATTTCTGATTTTTTTTTAATCTGATGGTACGCACGAGCATAATCCAAAATGTAATTAGGAAGAGCTTGGCAAGGATTGTTCTTCAAAAAATTTCATCTTAATCAATAGATACAAAGATTAATGCATATATAGGGTAAGGTGAATGTGCCCTTATTATATCACAGAGAGGCGTAACAAAAATATAAAACAATTTAAATTTTATAGTATTTTTCTATGAATCATACACTCATGCAACGACTACGTGTTGCGATTCGTCCCACAATCTCGATCGCTTTTATAAATTATAAAGCATTGTAATTTTCCACGAATTCTGATAGTGAATTAATATATGATTTGTAATTAATAAAAATTGTATACACAATTTTATGTATGATTTTTTTGTATGATTAATCATACAAAAGAAAAATAATTAAGAAAAAAACATTTATTATATATTTCAATAAAATATTATGTTCGTTCAATGAAAAAAAAAAATATTTTTATAAATATATAACGTTTTAAAAGAAAATATTTTACATATATAAGTAGTAATAAATGATGGAAATAAAATATTATAATCTAATTACAACATACGAATTGTTATTAAATTTATAACAAATAATTAAATAATATAATATAATAAATGTACGTTTATAATAAATAAATTTATAATTTATATAATAAATGAATTGTATGTATATATATATGAATAATTAAAATATAAAATAAACATATTTTATACGCGTATCAGTGCATTGCTTTTTTTATGCTGCATCATTTGTGGTACGAATCGCATTGGCATTATTATTGTCATCATCATTCTTTTTTCCTTTTTTCCCTGACTTTTCGATATCGTTCTTATCTATCTTTCGCGCTATTTTTTTCTCACGTTCTGTGCGTTTCTCTTATTTTTTTTTTTTTTTTACATTTTCACACTTTCATTCTCTCCTCAGTCTCACGTATCTCTTTCTCTCCCTCTCTTATTCTCTCATTCTCTTTCGCACATTCTATTTCTTTTCTTTTTTCCCCATGTTTCTGCTAATTTCGTCTATAACTAGTCCCTGACAAAACTAAATTCTGATAAACGAGAAGCAAGCTATTGAATGCCTTCAATATTTTTCTTTCCCTGTCTCATCGTTCTGCGCTATTCGTTTTTTTAATTTATTCCAGTTTAACAGTAAAACTTAGTAAATATGTATTTCACATATGCGTACACGGTCGTAGACAAACATATAGTGAAGTATTTCACTTACGCGTGTGTGCGCGCGCGTGTACGCCATTGTTGGTATTAAGAATAAAAGATTAATTTTGTGCTGATATACAACAGTGTTTTGAATGATAATTTGACTTACACATATACAGATTATACATACGTACTACGTACGGTTTCGTGAGTACAAAGTGGAATACGATGATGATTCGATTAATCAAATTGATTTTGATTTTATTAATTACGCATCATGAATGACAATAAAGAAATCTTTTTTTTTTTATTTTTTATTAACAACGATCTATGACTTATGTTAAGAGAAGATACATCGTTATGATTTAATTATTGGATTGTAATCGAAGATTCTTCTTTTTGCAGTTGATTGATTCGTCGATCGGATCAATAAAATATCCATGATTAATTCTTTTTCTGGAAAATTTAAAAAAATAAAAAAATATTAAATATATAAGTCGCAGATTGTTAAAAGAAGATGTTCAATTCCAATATACATATATAACTTATATATCCAATATACTTATATAAATTATTTCATCGATGAAGATATCGCTGTATTAAAAAAATATTCAAATTTATCAATGTGCAATGAATAATTAATCGCAATCATTCTCGTTAATCACTTTGTACAAAACGATGCAGAGATACATATCGTCCACAATAGATAATTTACAAATATATTTATGGGGTTTAATGAGAGTTCAGCGATATTAGTCCCATAGTAAGTTGGCGATAGAAAAAACCTGAATAAGTTCATAAGTATGGATTCAAATAGTTGACAATTTATGACAAAAAATGTATAATAATATAGAGTGTAAAATTTTCTCACAATGTAATTATAATATATATATATATATATATATATAGAGATGTATATATACACGTGGTGTATGCATAATGTGTACGTGTATATGAAGGATTAGTTTTGTTAAATTTTATTGTGTACGAAGAGGTACAAAATTTATAGGTATAGAATAGACTATGAGGTCCGAAAGGCTATCTAATTCGTTCGATTTGCGCTAACGATCCCATAATTATAAATATTGCGAGGTTTTCCATTTCCGTCCGAACTACAAATATATCGTTAATTATAAATTAATCTTTACACAATTTTTGAAAGATTATATCTACTAGAAAAAACTATCTTTATATAATAAAATATCATTTCGCTAGTTTCTTACTTTCTTTTGAATTTTATCATTTACATTCTTACGTTCTTTTTGAATTTTATTATTTTTTTTTGAATAATTTTAAAATAATAAAATGTAGTTCCGACCAAATGGCAACATGTGTTCAATTATATTAGGAATAATCGAATATTATTGTAACCTCGAACGTCAATTGGAATCGTAATGGGTAAATTTTGTAGGATCAAATCGCATTCTTTCATTGTTCAATTGTACAGTATACGTACAAACAATCCGCAGCAGATTTTCATTTGATTCTACTTTTGTTTGAGAATCGTGTAATTCGGCTGTGTGCCAAATAAGATCACGAAGAAGGAGAAGAAAAAAATGAAGGAAAAGAAGAAATCGAGGATTGTTGTCGTTGAAATGAAATAACGAGAAGAAATGAATAAGTTGAGTGAGAAATGACAAGAAGAAAAAAAAGAAAGAGGAGAAAAGGAAGAAGAAAAGTGGAAAGATCGATCATCGATCATTAAGGGAGAGAAAAAGAATAATTAAGAATTGAAGTCAATCGTCCATGTTTTGAAGAGAATGCTCTGCACGTCGAGTACGTCGTTAATAAACTCTGTACAAACATTAACAGTTCATTGAGAACAACAACATTTACACTCGAATAAAACCCTGAACCTTAGGGCTTTTATCGTCGCAATGAATCATTTAATCGCGACGAATTGTCGAAACATTTCTCGACTATTTTTTCTTTGTCGCTTTTTTCCCATTTTTTTTATTCTTCTGTAATTATATATAGTCAGTTGTTAAACGAAGATAATGATTAAACAAGATTATATTCCAGTATTTATATGCCAGAATAAAGAAAATGAAAATTATAAAAAAATCAACGATGAGAAATTTTAAAAGTATTTGTATATAATTGATAGATAATTCTGGCCTTAAAGCAGACAATGATTGTCTGACGTGGAAAAAGCGAGCTTTTCTTTCGAAAAAACGAAATACATTTTAACTGACATCAACGTGATCCACACAGGAAGTTTTGATGGAATTTTCTTTATACACGTAAGGAAGGTTCGATTAAACTTGTCTAAAATTTATCTACTTATACATTCTATTCTTTCTATTCTATTCTTCAAAGAAAAAGAAATCAAAAAATAAAGAACACGTATCAACAATGTCATTATGCTTGATTTCTTTCTTCTTTTTGTATTATTTTATGTGCAATTCATTTAATTCGTTTCAACAACGAATAAAGGACAAAGTGATTGTACATTACATTTCTTCAGCTCTAACGTCTGCCCACCGTATATAAAATATGGGTACAAATATTTGAGCCTCTTATTAGAGAAAGAACGTTGTGATCTCGTCACAAAATTTGTTCGAACCTTCCTCGTGAAGGGACACACAACAATGTATGAAATTGATGTGAACAACAATATGGATCCATTTAAAATTTACGATGATTTTTTTTATGTCTGACTTTTGATATCGATATATCAGTCTGAAATGATTGATACTAGCTCCGTGTTTTCTTCTGATCGATCCTCTTGTTTTGTACAATAAATAATCTTCTTTCGTTTTAACGACAACCTCATGATATAATTCATTGAATAAAATTATGACAGAATCATGGAGCCGTCATTTTTGAACTTTATCATTAGATGAAACAATTATGTTGAACGATGTACATCCATTTAGTACATGTACAATAGGATACGAGTTTGACATTAAGATTTTACACTATCAAATCGAAAACGGTGAATCGTAGATTTTTTTCAATTATCATCATTCTACTTGCAATATATCACACGTTTATGGTTTATACTTCCTCGTTGGAGTATAGAGGAGAACGGTTAAATAGATAATGGTGAACATTTAGTATCCTTAATAAATCCTTAAATCCTTAATAACGTTACTAATACGTTAAGTAATCTTAATGTGAATAAAAAATCTTTCCTATATGAGGCCTTAAATGTTTCAGCACCCTGTAATTCGCAAATTTACAATGATTTCAACGAATTGTATACAATCATTTTTTTTCCTTAAATTCGACGAACGTAATAACAAAATTTTGTTTTCTCCCTCTTTTTTTTCCTCTTTTGATGAAAATAGATTATTAATAATATTATCGCGTATTATTAAGTTATTCTAAAAATTGTCTTAGTTTTAAATCATTTACTTTGAAAAAATTTAACTTCACAAAAATTTAAATGAATTTATCTGAACGATATTAATATTTTGAATAATTCAAAATGATCTTTAAATTTTTCAACTTTAAGATTTACTTATATAATCAAACACAATATAATTTATTATAAATAAAAATAAAAATTTAAAAAAATATCTCTTCTAAAGAATAAATGATTTAAAACCAGAAACAATATCAATGTACCATAAAATTATATTTATGTAATTCTACCGTTCTCCAATTATACTTTAAATCTGTACAAATTTTCATTTCTACATTGTCACTAACATCCTTTATATTTTTTTCATTTTCTGAGGGGATGCCACATAGCAACAGGGCGCCTCTGAGCAGCCAACATTTGTCTCCAATGAACAAATGCTCTTCCTGCTGATGTGGGTCCTACGATAATGTGCCCGACAGAATATGGTTTCGAATTTACTCCCTGGTCATTGCTTACTTCCGCTACGGTTAGTCTTATTTGTATGTTCTAAAATTAAAATAAAAAAAAAATCTCAGTGAAATTTTTCAAACTCTTAATAAATAATTATTCTTTGATAAACATTATAAAGAACATTATTCGAACCTGCATAATATGACTGGGCACGTTAAAAATAATTGCCTCGTTGAAGATCGGGCTCTCTTCTCCTTTCTTCACGGACGTCTTTTTCTTGTGAATCTTTTTTCCTTGTTGTAGCAAATAAACCTTTGAAATATAATAAATATATTATCTATCATCATATGTTAGATCATATGTAATTGCAATAATTTCAATTTATTTATTCAATGAAAGATGTAACAATTTTAATTTATTCGAAACAGCTTCTCTATTACCTTGACGAAGAAATCACCAGGCACGGTATTGGCGCCACGTAAATTTCTAGCCTTTACAACCACTAACGTGAGCCTTTCGGCTGTTTGCAAGTAGCTCAAAGAGAACATTAATTCTCCAAGTCTTGGCGTGGGCAAAGCTGATCCCATGAGTGGTAACCAGGTAGTTGCCGGTGCCCTTGACGCAGGCCCTAGACGTAATCTAGCTTCTCCAATAAGGGATGTTCCACCACCTATACTGGTCTCATCAGAAAACACCTTAAAAATATCATACGTGAGTTATCGTCATACTTTCTACACATTTTATTCATTTAGATTAATTATTTCATTTATTTCATACTTCGACAAGAAGAGTTCTCCCCGAGGGGCCATCGTCTAAAGGGAACAAAAAATTTTCTTGATAACTAGGCGATGGACTTCCTCTGTACAGTCTTGTTTTCACGTGTAACTGTCTGTTTGGTAACAGACAAACCCTAAAAGGAATAAATAACTTGTTAATTTATATAATAATTTGTTAATTAAATTACATTTATCGATTCAAAAATTGGAATTACTGTTCTTGTATTTCATTGCGAATTTATATCATCTGAATCTCTTTTAAATTATCAATTTATTAATTTATTTATTTATGAAATGATCAGTAACTTTTGAACAAAACTGTATTACATATTTGATATACAAATTCACGGAATATTCAAACCTAGCAAAGGTATCTTGAGCAGGTTGACCATCTGGGGCGATGAGATCTCTGGCCTCGAGAACGCTGACCGCAAGATCACCCTCGCTATCAGCACCTCGGCCACTCCATCTGTCGTATTGGACACCGACACACACGTGGCCGACGACAGGCGCTTCTTCGAGGTCGTTTAATACTACACTCGTATCAGAGCACACACTCTCACAGCTTATTGCCCTTTTCAGGTTCGATTCATCCGGCGGTGGCTCTGGATCCGGTCCCTGAGGTCCACGACGACTTCCAGGGTTAACCTCATTGTAATCGTTCATGGTATAGTTTGTGATAAAACTCTGTGAATCGTATTTATATTTAAAGGAATTAAATATTACGGTATATCTAATTATAATAAATGCCAATCGAGTGGAAAAGATTAAGTTATCATACCTGAGAGAATTTTCGCTTCAATTGCACTTCTTCTACTGCAACGTAGAAGTCGTTTCGCTTTCTGCGAGACAAATTGGATACTGGATTAATTTATTTTTTTCTTTGTTTTTTAATAAATGTAAAGCAATGGAATTATCGTCAATGGTTAAATTTACCTTAATGTATCAGCGTCATCGAGTTCGTTAAGTTCGTGAATACCGTTCAATCTTTCCATACTTTTTCTCCTTTGCTCAATGCTATTTAAAATATCCTGAAAATAAATACGTATAGAATATATTAAATAAGTTATCGAATCATCGAATTAAAATTTAAATTCAAAATCAATATCGTACCTCAGAGGTTCTCGTAAAGCTAGGATCAGTCATATACGTGTAAATCTCTTGATTGTGATCTTTAACTAACAACGGGGATGATGGTGGATCTTGTAAACTATTGTATACCTAACCAAAATAATGGAATAATTAGAATAAAATAGGTTAAAATAATTCTTTTAAATCAAAGAATTATATACCTCTTGTGCAGTTCTATGTGCTTCTAAATTAAGTTCGGGACTGTAAAGATCGGAGCTACGCCTAGAGTCGTCAGGACCTATCACGTCAGAATCGTTCTCCGCATAAATATCTTGAACTTCATCCTGCAAATGGCCACCGGTGTCCTCCTCGACCAACGACGATGGGGATCTCGACGGGAAAGTGAAACGTTGAACTTGTTGTGCCGAAGACACGACCGAGCTACGTGAATAGAAAAGAAATTTGTTATGAATTTTTTGAAAAACGATTCCTTGAAAAATTTCTTCCCTTCGATGCAAAACATACTTGTAAAATTCCGAGGCGTCGATATAACTCTGCGAAGTGACCAATCTAAGAGCGTTAAATATTCTTTCGCCAGTTGTCTGCCCGTTCTTTTTTGGCACGTCTTTCGGTGGATCGGGCGGCGCGGGTGGCGGTGGTGGTATCGGGCTGGATACGGCCTCGCTGTTGACCTTCAATGCGTTGATCGATTCCTGAATTGTGTCGTCGTAGAGCACGCGATCCTGATCTTGGTGGAGTCCCAGCTCGTTAATCGAATCGTATATTGGAAGATCGGGCAAACTTTGAATGTATTGGGAGACTTTCTGCAACCCTTGAGACTCGCGGAACAAGTAGGACGGGCCTATGTTGTCCTGAAGGCTGGAACTTCTAAAGGGCGTCATCTCGATGCTTTGCATCTCGTTGCTCTTATGATCGAGGTCGTTCCCAAGACTCTGAGTGCTCTGAAGCATCTTAGACAGCTCCTCGGATCCGTATATCGATTCCATGATAGTCTGGCTTGCGGCATTCGAAGAATTCGTCATACCGAAACTGCTCGGCGAGCCCCTCGAATCATTCCTGATATGTTGCCGTATCATGTGACTCCTTTGAACGATGTCGTAGCTCCCGTAACTCGTGTTGCTATCCTCGTCCCCTTTACCGTCGAGGGTAGCTATAGGTACGCCGTGTACACCGTATCTGATCCTGGTCGACTCGATGCCACCGTCGAATTGCCTGTAAGGATTGCATCTATTCTCTTTCCTTCGTTCCTCACCGAGCTCGTATCTCAGCCTCGAGTCTATATGATTCTGCGACCCGTACGACGCCATTTGAATATTCTCCGCCACGGTCTTCGTTGCCTCGCCATCGAATATGAACGAACCATGATCGTTTGATGTTTTATGCAGACCGTAATTCTTGATGGGCTCGTTCTGGAAAAGAAAGACCGACGAGCCGGACGATCTCGAGGGAACTGGAGCCCTCTGTAACGATGGTGGTGGAGTTAGAGGAACCGGACCAGCCTCTTGCATTCTCAGCTGGTCTACGGTGCTCGAGGTTTGAAGTGGAGACGGCCTTGGACGAGCGGTTGGCCTTGGTTGAGGTGCCGGTCTCAAAGGCTGCGGTGGTATTGTGCTACCGGTTGTTGTGCCCAGAGGCGGATGGAGATCTCTGTCTACTGGTTCGAATCTGCAAATGTTATGAGTTTTACCTTTTGAAACGGGACAATCCTCTTCCCTCCTCCTCCCTCCCTGTCCCTGTTACTTTGTTCTTTCTACTTTGAAATTTGAATCTGATTTTACATTTTATAGTGCGCGCGGTTTTAACTCTTTGTCTTGATATTAAATATTAAATATCGATCGGTCGACCAAGTGCTTAGACGTCGCGTGCTTACTGAAAAAAGGTCGCATAATTTTTTTTTTTTTTATGAATGGCTCAATTGATTTGCTCTTGACTTAAGGACTTATGTTTTGTCGAGATTTATTCCATGTTGGTTAAAGATCGTATTCTTTATTAGGGATGATAAATATAGGAAATAATAATTCATTAGAATCATTGGAGTTTTCTAGTAATTATTTGAATTATTAATGATTTCATCTTTTTTCAATTATTCTAAGTTCTGGAAAACTTATTGTCATTGATATTGTTCAGTTATTGCTCAATTGTGCACATATGTGAGAATTACCAATATTAGTTCGATGACTTTGACATTTCATTTTATCGTAATTAAAAAAATTAAGCATTAATATTGTCCATCGTTCGCTCGATCAGATTTATTATCTGCCACGTTGTTATCTTCTCGTCGAAGAAATTAATATTTCGTTAAACTTAATCATGATCTTGGGTTTATTAGAAATGAATTATGCAAGCATAATGCTCAGCCAGTTTTTGTACCTGGTGAAAGCTCCTTGTGCATCTAGCCTGAGGTCGCTGTCACTGTGAAGCAGATGTTGAGACGCGTTTCCAGGTTGTCGATATAAACCGGGGATTGTTTGAGCTGTTGGATGTTGTGCTTTGACTAAACCGACCTGGAAAATTCGTTAAATAACGACGAATATTTTATATATTGTAATATGGATGGAAAGATCGTTTATTATTTTTATTTTTCGTCTCTCCCTCTTTTGATGTACCTTTTCTTCTCGCGGTGCCCATAACCAGGATAACCTTTGCCGCCACTCCTCGCAGACATTCCAAATGTTTCTAGTACCCCATTGCCAGCCAATGCAATATCTAGAGAGGATATTGCAAATAATTACTGGTACGTCTTTTACGTCGATATTTACGAGTTATAACTGAAATTTGGCTAGGTTTAATAGGCGGGTATTGAGGTCGATAATCGTGTTCTCATGGAGAAACTTTTCGGATGGTGGTGTGAGAATTAGATTATTGGGTCACGATGTTCGACTATTGAAAATATTGATGTTTAACATCAATATTTTTAACAGCCACACGGTATTATTGATTTCTTTGGTTAATCGACGATATATGGGATTCTACGTGTATAATAGAAACGAACCCATTGAAATATTCCTTTTTTCCTCCCTTTCTTTCGTGTCCTATATAGCAGTAGAAAAAAGTGTTTAGTCGTATGTAACGTTCGACCGATGGCTGACTAATAGCACACTCGCAAGCACGTGGGAATATGCTATTATTAAGTGAATAGAGATGTGCGCTCATCAAAGGGGGTCAGCGAGAAAATCAATTTTAGTAAACGCGGTATTAAAGGTAAAATAAAATTTCGCTGCATTCCTGTGCAACACTCGTTTAACCCGCGCGAAAGTGGCTTTGAATTCTCTTCTTGCTTAAACTTTCATATTCTATTAACTGGAAATATCCCAGTTGAATTTTTTTATTTTATCAAGAATATCAAGAATATCGAATTCTCGAATCGATACAATATATTTGTGAAGATGCCAGATTATGAGTTGGAAATTGCATGGCAGCTACGTGCTTTTCTCGAGAAGAAAAATCGGACTGGAAAACTCGAACGCTGGAATATCAAGTTGTTATTGCGATTTCTCAGATTTCCACCGTTGTTCTTATAATGCTTCAATGAATTCGAAACGATGATAGTAAATGCTTGCAGCTACGTTTAATATTTCTCCATCCCTGGACGAAAGGGATAAAATCTCAAAGAAGAATAAATTCGGCTATGGAAAAGGATGGATAAAAAGTCTTTGATACAATTTATTACTGAATGATTTTAACCTGTTGCACGTGTTGCAATTTTCACAAATACATATACCTGTTGTGTAACGCGAGAAAATATCGAAACAATTCTTCTTGAATTCATTACATAAAGAAAGATTCTTCAGTGATAATGAATATCCATTATGATATTTCTATATTATAGTGAATCGCGTTTGAAGTTGACAAGAAGAAAATGTTGCATTCAATTATATAATAAATAAATCTCAAATTACTAATATATATTTTATATAACAATGGATAATTAATTTTTCACGATATTTTCAAGATTTCTAGGTCGAGGTTGAGGGTATATTTTTGACAGGAACAAGTCGAATGCAGGAGCGATTTGGAACAGGAAAAGGATGTTATATAAAGAAATGATGACACGAGCTGTCAATGGATACGTTTGTTGAAATCGTGGTTTCAATTACCTTCTGCACAGAGCAAGGGCAGTGCCTGCCACAATGACGATAGCTAAAGCCACCCCAAGAACGGTAAGTGTCCAACCCATCCTTCTTAATACCAAATCCAGGCCCGACCGCAAATCCAATCAGTCCGCCGAACCTGAAACACACGAAGTAAATCCCTGAAGAGCATGATCCGATTATACTTACAGAACCAAGATTACTAATGGATTAACTATCTTTATACGTACTTATATTGTATGCATGTTTATTCGCACGTTTAAAAAAGTATCCATAAAGATTTTCTCATGAATATAATAATTACGCGTAGTAATTATTGTACACACGCTTATAACATCGAATCTATTCAAATCGTTTTCATTTGTGAAAAAAAAAAAAAAAAAGAAAGAAAGGAAAAAGGGGAGAAAAGAAATTTCTCTTATCCCTATCAACAATTCGATCTCTCGATCTTTCTTTCACGGTCGTGGTTACAGCGATATCGAGCTTTCCAACGACGTAACGTATAAATAGCGAGCTCGTAGAGTTCAGAGCGGAGAAACGGAAAGCAGATAGAAACCGGAAATGTCGATAGAAGTTAACGAGGCGGCACCGTGAGCGATAAAATCTCCCCCTCGAAAAGTTTCCTGGCGATTCGTGTTCGCCTTTGCCGACGACATGAAAGGATTCTCAAGATTCGTAAGAAACTCCACCGCAAAATTAGAGTCCTTACCCATTGCCGGATTCATCCCTCCCTTATGTCTCGTAAGGAGGATCCCTAATCTCGTCTTTCGACGTGACTGCCTTTATACGAATGTGTATTCACTTTCCTTCGTCACGTTTATACCGATCCAAAGTTTATATATGCGACGATTCCGCTCGAACAGACAATATTGCGAAATATATGCGTTATGTAGAGGCCATACATATGCATAGGTGTACAAGTACATGGTAGATAGACCAAAGAAGGCTGGAGAACCCTTAGACGAATGCCCTTGTATAGGTAGTCTGCCTCGAGAAGAATAGACGGTTCAAGATGCGATTCTTTAGAAGTATATACAACCACGAACGATTTATTCCTTCGTGTGAATTTTCATTCAAATTATTTATTGATACGTTATTTAGATGGACATGGATAAATTAGATTTATGAAATTTCGTTATGCAAATGATTCGTAACAAATTGGATTATATTAATTATTAATTTAATTTTAATTTTAGATTATTTCATTTTAATGTATAATTTGTATTTTATGTGACGAGGATTATTAATGATATGAAGATTAAGTCAAAATTGAATAACTTTTAGTCCAAATTTAACTTTAATCCAAATTTGTTACAAATATAGCTATTAGTAAGCTTATTAGTAAGATTTAATTCAGTACTTGATATAATCAAAGATTCAAGATTCAAGGTTCAAAATTCAATCTTTTTACCATCTGCAAGTAATTTAATTTCGTACAATCTTCTTAATACAATTATTATTTCTTTATAGAAATTATCAATTGTGATTCAATCAGTTTTCCCCTTTTTATCTTCTCCTTCTTATTTTCCCAATCAACGAATGATTCTTCGTATCGTTCATCATAATTTTTTAACCTTCGTATCATGAAGAAGAAGTGAAGATATCATTTTCTTGAATCACAAGATTGCAACGAAGATTCTATATTTTTATTTCTATTGGGAAAGAGACGCGTACAGCGTCTTCTTTTTATCTCAGACATTTTGACACAAAGCACGTGTGGCTTAGCTTAGTTGTAGTCATGCACTCAACTTCTTTCAAAAAAATGGGGGTGGTGAAGAAGGGCTAAAAGGGGGGAAGTTAGGAGAAGGTGAGAGAAAGGAAGGAAGAAAGTGCAGCCTGGCATGTGTCTGAAAAAATAGGCCAAGCCAGCGGAGTCGGTGAACTTTGCTCAGATACTTCGACGGCCGTACAACGAGCCATCAGCAATCCGGATGGTTTCCCCTTCGAAGAAGTAATCCGCTTTTCAAGTGCTATAGATACACATGATCTAACCAGCAAACCGCACGATACATCAACGATATTTCTAAATACCATATTTTCACAAACATATTTTAGAGAATTATTGTCTTGTTCGTATCTTTTTTCTTCCATTTTTATCTTTTTATTATCGTATTTTTTGATTTTCGATGATTTTTGTACTCGAGTTAATTTAATTTTATTTTTTGTCATCATTACCTTCATCGTTATTATATATAAGATTATCTATCTGATATGTAAAATGTGTTGTTGTTCATTCTTGAAACGAATTTGTTAATTTATATGGAGTTTAAAATTATATATAAAGAATTACAATTGAGAAGAAAGAATATAAGAGGAAAATAAAAGAATTGTCCGGGCAATTCTTTAAAAAAAAAAGACGAAAAAACAAGGAACAGAGGTTGTATTATATTAAGAAAAAAGGAACAAAGAGAAATGAGTAACAATGATATGAAATTCAGAATTATTATTTCTGCGAGTAAATTAGCTACCTCACTCGAAAAAATTAATTCTATATTATTCGGAAGATAATAAAACATTTTACGTGTAAAACATTTTAAGTGGAACGAGTCTCTCTATGATCAGACATGAAAATCTATTATCTTTCTTTCCATTAATTTACAAATAAATATATTTATAAATGATTGTTTATTAGAAAATAAATATTTATTTACTTTCTAAAATCATTATATTACAAAAAAAAAAAGAATCGATTCTTACATCATTTCGTAACAAAAGAGCAACATGTGTAACACAGATAAAATTTCAATCACGAAGAACAATCCAAAATTTGAACAATGGCACATGTGAAACTTTTTAGTTTCGAAGGTAGAATTGAAATAAGAGGGAGACTAAATGGGACAAACTTAAAGAGGAGGGGGAAAGAGAGGGAGACAGAAACGAAAGGAAATAATTCACTGTCTCGTTCTATATTTGAGTGGACGAATCACGGTGTGGTTCTGGTTGGATGTCTGTCTATGTGATGCAACGAATAAAGAGATTTTTGGCAAGACGAGAGATAAGGGGGTGGTAGATGGACGAGCGGGATAAGATTTAGCGAGGGAGAGGAGGGTGATTGCTGGTTGGTAGCAGTGCTTCGCTCTTTCCCCATCAGAGACAATAGTAGCAATTAGTGGCGTGTAAGATTTCAGCCCGAGGCTGCAGAGAAAAAGAAAGAGATTCTCTGTTTCTCGAGTACATTCATTCAGGGGCTAGTCTCTTTTTCGCTCTCTCGACGATGTGAAGAAAAAAAAAAGGGGGTCACGAAGTTACTTTAGGAACGTACATTCGATTGAACCCTCAAAGATTCATCGATCCACTTTCTACCCATCAAACGTTATTCCTGTCAAGGTCCTGTTTGAAGCAACAGATATTAAGTATCGAGCACTTGGGCTCGAGATGTATCATATAGAAACATGCGAGTTGATCGAAAAATTGAGAGAAAGGGGGAGAAAACAATGTTTATATTCATTTAGTCATTGCAATTAATTGTAAAATATTGAAAAGATTGTTGAATAGAATTATTTTTGTTTGCTGTTTTAAAAAAGATTTTTTTAAAATGTATTATTAATTTTTGTTTCTTATCTACGATCTTTTTCTTATATCTTATATTTTTTCTGCTTTCCCATTTTTTTATAAACATAAATGAAACTTTTAACGAAAAGATAAAACAAGAAATAGTATTGTAAAAAGTGTCGTAGAATATATTTAATTTAGCGAAATAAAAAATTTCACTTTCTTCAAATCTGAAATCTTCTTCATGAATTTTTATAAATGCTTTAAACTGCATTGACGGTAAAATCGAGCTATACTCAGTAGTGTGCATACTCATTGTTGCAAGTGCGCAAAAGTATATTGTGTCTTTTGAGAATCAAGAATGCAAGGGTAACGCATGCGGAACGGCGAAATAAGGACCAGTAAGTAGAGGATATCAAAACCGGGTCAGACCAGAGCGGTCTGCTTCTGTTTACATTTGTGCCACTGTGTCAAGGTAACTTAGATATATATATATATATATACAAATCAAGAACAGTTGATTAGGGACAAGAGTAAAAAAAAAAAAGAAGAAAGAGAATTTCGTCAGTAGTTTCTGTCGTCATATATTATCCACTTGGAAGAGAAGTAGAATCTCAAAATGAATTTGATGAAAAATTAATTAAAATAAAAAAAAGAATATTTAATGATTTGAATCTTTACATTTAAATCGTGTGAATATAGATCTTTCAAAATATAAATGTTGTTCGAACATAAATGTTTCGAACAATTACTTTTGAGCGAAATTTCGAGTGATTTTCATTACGACAAATTTATCATAACTATGACAATGGTGAATTGGTTATCGTAGAAAAATTTATACAAGTCCATTTATCGTTAAAGGCAATTCACGAAGTTACGAGATCGGAATTCTTGACTCTCCATGAATAATTCACATGTGAGTTTCGCTTGTTGTTGGCAGCTCGCTTTGGCTTATTTTATTTCACAAATGGTGTATCTAAAGAGCGTCAGAGATGATCATTCTTGATTTTCCAAAATAACAATGTTACTCGTACAATAAACATTTCGATCTTGTTAAATAATTTTTTATTCTCTTTTCTCTCTATTAATTTCTCTTGTACATCTTTATTTTAAAACATCGACAATATTATTATTACCATAACAACATCGATTTTTAAATACCTCTATTTTGCATTTATATGTATAATGATTACGTAAATGATTACATAAATTTAATATTTGAGATGAGTAACTTTTTCATTCGATAGATTTTTAAGGATTAAACGTGGTTAAATAAATATTTTCGTTATCCATATTTACGAGTGTTTATGCCTAGGTATTTATTGAAATCTCTATCAACTTTATTCAAATTTGTTGCTCGTGAATAATAAAAATTTCTATGTTACATATCATCAGACAAAACGGTCATGGTCGTGAAATATTGATACGAATATTTTAACGAGGTTGAATTATAATTTTTTGCCTTTCTTGGTTCAAGGAGACCAGAATTCATTATTTCTCATTTTTTTATTTAAATATATTCATACTATATTAATATCAAATTATCATTTGATCAAACGAAAGGAAAACCAAAATCAAATTGATCATTAAAACCTATTAAAACAGGAGTTTGGATCAAAGACTTATCCAAATCTCCAAATCAAGGAA